GACTTCAGAGAGAATCTCAAATGTAGGCCTATGCCATGATCTGTTCTAACAAAATGCCAAACATTTCGGCATTGCAAATTAAGCCATGCTGCGTTTCAAATGGATACAATATGTGCACTGGATTTGCATCAACAAATACGCAGCGGCAGCAGCAAACTGCAACTGGTGAATCGCCTTGGCATAAACCATTACCGCAGGTTAAATTAAAGAGTACCGATGTGCTATTTTTTTATTACTTTTAAATTTTTCGATATTCCAAAAAAAAAAAAACCAAAATCTGTAGAAACAAATATTAATAATCTTCATAATGGTATTTTTCATATATTTCCTAAAAAAAATCCAATATATATATATATATATATATATAATTTTAAAATAGATACAAATATTCATCCGCCATTGGGGCGCTCACCGAACTCCCCAAACGCTCGGCCACCATTTCCCATCAATACCCTAATCTCTCCGGTAGCGCTCGACGCGTTGCTCCACTTGCTCTCCCTTCTTCCCCAGCCTTCAGGTCTGTCGCTGTCGCCATTTGCTTGTGACATCTTCTCCGACCTCTTCCCTCCATTTCCATGATCGTGGCGTCCGATCAACCTCTTTGTCCAATTACGTTCCTCGGCTGATCCGAAATCGTCAGACAAATCTAATCGTTCGACCGATACCGCCCTACCTATCTGCCCAACCTCGGGCAGAACCATGAATTCTCTCGAGGCATCGCTCGTCCCTCTCGTTTCCCCTGCAACTGATGTCCCTCGCCTTTTTAAGCTGGACAGACGGAAGAGATTCGCATGTCGAGCTCAAGTTCCGAAGGCTTCATCATGCCTGGTGTCGGACGCACAGCAGAACGCGGTAGCATCGTCGGAGCCAGCGTCGAGGAAAGTGATGGAGTTGGAAAAGAATGTGTTCGTGGGTACCTATGCCCGAGCTCCGGTGGTGATCCAGAGTGGCAAGGGATGCGAACTCTACGATGTGGACGGGAAGGAGTACCCGGACATGACGGCCGGGATTGCGGTGTATTCCCTCGGGCATGGTGATCCGGATTGGGTGAATGCGATGATCGAGCAGGCTCACACGCTTACCCATGTCGGCAACCTCTACTACTCAATCCCTCAGGTAAGGCTGGAATTTTGTTAGTTGGAAATGCAATTTTCATTCGATTCAAATTGTTAGCGACTATCCATAGATTAGAGATTGCTGCCATCTGATAGTGGATGGTGTTGTGTCGTGAAGAATGGCTGTAGCTTGTTGGCTTATACGTATAAGAAATTTTTTGGCTTCTTGATTACTAGGTGCATTTGGTTCACTTTGGATTTGTGCATTAGATGCTAGGGGCGTCCTTTGGATCCTTTTCTTGTCTTTCCATACTTTTGAAAGTTGGTGTTTTGTTCTTGTCGTGAATTAAGGACCAACCACATATAAGAGGTTTGTAGACGTGATGAGAACAGTTCTGGAATACCTGTTTTAATAGGAACAATGAGGTCTCAATATGCATTGGAAACAAAGCCCTTACCAGTAACCTGGGTTGAAAACACGGAACAATATAAACTATATATAAATTCACCTTCATGTAAGACGTCTTTTGTTGGACATGGACCTTATATTTATGACCTACTTCTCCCATCTCTTGCTATAAGATCATTAATTTATCTGTCATGCTCAAAGGCACAGCACTATGTGCAACGCTCTGATAGTCTTTCTATCTTGTCCATATTTTAGTATGGTATTGCATTGTTTCCCTGCCTGACATGGTGATATGTGGGAAGGATTTCACACATCATTACCCTCAAATATGAACGCTTTTCTTTTTAGATGTAATCAACTAGATTTGATTTATCTATATGGTTGTCTTCTACAATCATCTTTCTTAAGAGTATAGGATCTTTTATTTCCAGTGATTAATCTTTGTGAACCCCTTGAAGGGTCGCCATATTCTTGCCATGATATCTTGTGAGGGATACACAAGTTGAAACTTACAAGGCTGGTTGATTGGAGGCACATTATTCTTGGTTATTCGGATTAGGCATATAACACCAAGAGTTGAGTTTTTTTACTTTACATGGAGAGAACCAAGCGAAGTTCTTTATTCAGATATCACAAGATATGGCATTTCAACTCTTTCCCAGCAAATTGTGGTCAAGCAGCTGGATAAAGAAGAGAAGACAACAAACTAAGCGATTTGCATGCCACCTGCACCCTCTTTTGCACTTGTTTTGGTTTGTATAGGTCATTTATTTTTGTGTTATTATATAAGAAGATAAGAAACAATTATTTGTGGTGTTCATTGTGTAATTCATACAACCTTCTCTAAAGTCACTCTATTTTTCTTCTGAGTGTTATTCTTAGAAATAATCCCTCTTCTTATTGTACTATTTTTGTTATATTCTGCGATCGTTACTCTTAGTTCCTTTGTATTCCGGGTGCTCTTTTATGTTCTTAACATGAAATCCCTATGTAATTTTGTGTTTATGTTCCTAAATATCCTTTTATATAGCCTTTTTTTTCTCGTATTTTGTAACTTAAGCATAAAAAAATTTTACTATGTCCTAAACTCCACAGTAGTTTATTTGTTCAGTGGACAATATGCATGGATAATGCAGGTGACTCTTGGAAAGCGCCTCCTGTTGCAAACTCTGGAACGGAAGCAAATGAAGCAGCTATAAAATTTGCTAGGAAGTTTCAAAGATTTTCACACCCTGATAAGAAACTTCCTGCTACAGAGTTTATTGCTTTCACTCATAGTTTCCATGGAAGGACAATGGGTTCTGTTGCCCTCACAAGCAAAGAACACTACAGGTTACCCTTTGAACCTGTCATGCCCGGGGTCAAATTCATAGAATATGGAAATTTTGAGGAAGCCAAGAAAGCAATACAACATGGCAAGACAGCAGCAGTTTTTATTGAACCTATACAGGGTGAAGGTGGAATATATAGTGCCACAAAGGACTTTCTACGGGCTTTACGCACTGCCTGTGATGATGCTGGAGCTCTCTTGGTATTCGATGAGGTAGGCAGCTTACATTTTTGTTTACACGAATACTTAGTTCTTTTCTTTTCGAAATTATGTGATTGGCTTGGTGTATCCTTCACTCTCTGTTTTTTGAAATTTTAGTGTCCATTTATAAATTTGTTGTGGTTGGATCTATTAAGCTAAGCTAAGTAGTTCATAGATGTAATCAGACGTCCTGCAACCGCAACTGTCAATTTTGGGACTCATATTGTCATTAGAAAAGCGGAGAAGCTGAATTATCGGCTGCACAATTTACCTCTATCCTGAAAAATTTTGATCGATGTGTCAACATTGAAGTTGTCTGGCAATCTCTATCCTCGTTGTTGTTTGTGTCTATGTAGTTCTGGTACGTGTCAAACTGGAGAAAACTCCAGTAATTGATATTAGGACCTGTAAAACAGTCCTGTTGGAGATACAAGTGCTAGAACCTCAAATGATCTGATCCTTAGAATTCATTGATCATGCAAAAAGATCTTGTCCTCTTTCCTCTTTGTCCATCCTCTTCTTGGCACAGTATTTTAATATAACTAAAACAGTATTGTTTACTACTTTTGTTGCCTACCCTTTTGAGGATATCAGTATACTTGATTGCATCTCTCACCTGGAACTGTATTTAGTGTTAAATTGGTTCTATTATTCATCTCTTAGTATTCCAACATCTCAACTTATATTTCATAAATCTTGAGGTGAACCAATCCCGAGAGTTTCCTGCCTTTTTAAGGATTAGAACTGCATCTTCTGGAGGTTCAAGAATTTAATTGGTCCTGGTTAATAGTTGAATACTATCTCCTTATATGGTCATGAGATTGATTTATGTATTCCTTTTTTCTCTTTCAATTCTGTTTATACTCCTTGGTATTCTTTCGTACACTGTTATGACTTGAGCCCATTATCATATTTGAATTATATTTTTTTTTCTCACAGGTACAATGTAGATTGGGCCGAACAGGTCATCTGTGGCTCGTAAGGCCTTTGGTGTGATGCCTGATATGATGACCATTGCCAAACCTCTTGCTGGTGGTCTACCGATCGATGTCGTCCTGACCACTGAAAGGGTTGCTGTCGCCATAAGCGCTGGAGACCATGGGAGCACTTTTGCTGGTGGACCACTAGTTTGTCACACAGCCCTTGCAGTATTGAGTAAAATACAGGAGCGCAGTTTCTTGGCCAGTGTAACTAGGAAGAGACACTATTTGAAGGAACTACTTGTTAATAAACTGGGAGGGAACCTGCACGTGGTGGATTTGGGCTGATCGCGGGAATTGAGCTGGACATCCAAGCTTCTCCCGTCGTCGATGCCTGTCGAAATGCCGGCCTTCTGGTGCTCACAGCTGGAAAAGGGAACGTAGTTAGGCTGGTGCCGCCTTTGATTATATCCGAGGAGGAGCTGGAACAGGCTGCCAAAGGTAATGCCTCTAATGAGGCATAGAGGCTTCAGGTTTTTCTAAGATTTATCTTGTTTCCAGCATGTAATTTACTTACTATGGATGTGAAACATGTACCTGTTACTTGGCATAAATCTGATTCAAGTATAATGTCTTTATCTATGTCATGTGTTCATAGAGGATCAAACAACACAACCTAGATTTTCAAATCAAACCAGTGGTAGTCCCTTTCTTATACAGATTTGTGCATGTGAGCAATCATGTTGCAGGACTATTCCTATTGTACTTTCTTTATGTATATAGATGTGACATCTATTTATCATCAATCCTCTTATACCTTTAAAATTTGATGAACTTGTTAGGTCAGGCTGCTTTGGAGTAGTGTTTTTTTTTTATATGTAAATAAAACCAGATCTCTGTCTAATAAATGTTTTATTCTTCTTCCATGTAGAAAAAAAATCTGCTTGCTTGATTCAGCTGTATGATGAACTGACAGACTAGTGGATTGAATCTGGAACTCAATTATTTTTAGCTTCCTACATATATGCATGATAAACTTGTTGCACAGTTCACTTCCATCATGTAAAATATAAATTGCCTTAATATCCAATGAATTCTGTGACCTACTACCTCTCTTTGTATATTATGCTGCCTTCTTTAGATCACTTCCAAGGATCAAAGGAAACCCAGAGATTTGGACAAAGGTGTAGTAGCACCATGCGATGTTCATCGTAATCGACCCGGCAACGAACAAAGAAAGCCGAGCACACGAAAACATGTTTGTGGAATGAAGGCCTGACAGTGCCATCCACTTTATTCGACGTATACAAGGTGTTCGACCACGAGTAGCTACTTACTAATATTACCTCTCGATCTAACAAGTCACTGAGCCGCAGCTACAGGGCTCCTCAGGAACTTATGGTGAGCTCCGGCGCTTTCGCTTCCATCACCCTCTGCTTCTTGTTGACGAGCATGGCGGAGCTCGTGCCGGTCGTGAGAGAAGACGGCACGGCGGCGGGATCGTACGCCGAAACATGGACCCCCAGAGCAGCTCTGCCCGAGGGGTCGAGGTTCTTCGACCACTGCGCGTCCCACTCGATCGCCTTGGCCGTGCTGCATGCCACGCTTGGTCCGCCAGGGATCGTCAGCCTCGCAGAGTTCTGCAACACCGTCACAGAATTCTCACATCTTACCGACGAATGCTTGAACGACGGCTCTATCACGGCAATTAAAAGAGCATATGATTCTACCTGCGGGAAGAACCTTTCAAAGATCATCCTGTAGTAGTAGGCTTCCTTCGTGGTTGGCGTGTTGTGTGGGTATATGTGCTTCGCGTTCTGCATCATTTTGCCCGACACCTGAACAAGATCGATGCCGTCTGTCATCGCGAGCTCTCTCTCTCTCTCTCTCTCTCGCTCCATCGAGAAAGAAGGAGATTAAATGGACGACAAAGTTACTTACATGCTCTGCCGCGTGGGACTTGAGGCCATCGATCCAGCTGTAGCCAACACCATCACTGAACTGCTCCTTCTGCCTATAAAGGATGTGCTGCAGAGACAACAAGGACGAAATCCTTCAGAAAACTCTCTTCTTGCCGCAGTGAATGAAAAGAATCGGTGGACGAAAACCTTTGGCAGGTAGGGGTTCTCCTCATCATCAAAAGCCTTCCTCAGTACCCACTTCTCGATCCGACCAAGATCAGGCTTGATCTGATCATGAACACAGCACGTCAGCAAGCGACAGACTTCATTTCTCTTGGCACCGCAGATAATCTATTTGACGTACCATTTTCCATTCAGGATCAATGCTCATGGCGACACCGATGAATGCCTTATCCAAGAAGGGCACGCGAGATTCCAGTCCCCATGCCGATGTTGCCTTGTTGGCTCTTAGGCAATCATACTGGTGCAGGGCTTTTACCTGTGGACATAATTGGATTCGGACAAGATGATGAGGTTTCTCGGTACCTTTGCGATCGACACCACCACCGATAGTTTGCATACCTTACGACATGTTTCTCCGTGGAATTCTTCCTTGTTCGGTGCCTTGTGGAAGTACAAATAGCCTCCGAAGAGTTCATCCGACCCCTCCCCTGAGATCACCATCTTCACTCCCAGTGCCTTGATCTTACGGGACATGAGGAACATCGGTGTGCTAGCTCTGATCGTGGTAACATCATACGTCTCGATGTGGTAGATCACATCCTCGATCGCATCGATACCGTCCTGGATAACACACAGACTCATCAACTACATTTATGGTCCGTCCGTCTTCTCGGCAAAAAGAGCTTCCAGAGTACCTGAACGGTGAAGTGGAACTCATGGTGAACGGTTCCCAGGTAGTCAGCAACCTCCTTTGCTGCCTTCAAGTCCGGTGATCCCTGCAACAAAAAAGAACATATATCCGCATGAATTCTTTTCTTTTTTGACCGCAAGGATCGTAGGATGAGCACAGGTTGCCGACCTCCAGGCCAACGCAGAAGGAATGGAGTTGAGTCCCCCACTGCTCTGCAGCTTTTGTTCCTGCCAAGTGACGAGAAGTCACAGCAGCAACCAGTGACGAATCGAGTCCACCAGAAAGCAGAACTCCAAATGGGACATCGGTCATCAGCCTTTTGATGACAGCCTGCACAAGTGAGAGAAAGGAACTACTCAGTTACCCGAGACAGCAAAAGAACATCCGCATGCAGTCTTTACCTTCTCAAATGCCTCCCTCAAAACAAGGGGATCATATGGCACCGATGGAATCGCCTCCGAGTACCACGGCGGGTTGTACCATCTCTTGTAGCTGCCTTCTTTGCTGGAGTACAAGTGCCCGGGAGGGAAGACCTCAAAGTGTTCGCAGTCGTCGTTCAGACCTTTCATCTCCGATGATATCCAAACAGAACCTGCAGTACCAACAGCAGATTCAGAACAAAGCTTAGAATCCGTAGAACAATTTACAGCATTCTTATCACGTACCGTCGAGTCCCCAGCCGATGTAAAGAGGAGTAACTCCGATGGCATCTCGGGCAGCGATGAAGCTGTTGTCGCGAGTGTCCAGCAGCACAAACGAGAAGATGCCATCCAGCATATCCACGAATCCTTCGCCATGTTCCTCGTACTGTGGATCATAGAAACAAGTCAACAATCTGAAGTAGTTTGTGCCGCTTATTATGTTATCATGATGGAGATGGAAAGATCAGACCAAAAAACTCGTTTACCAGATGAGCGATTACTTCACAGTCACTCCCAGTCCTAAACTTGTGATGAGGAAACCGTTTCCTCAGTTCTTCATGGTTGTAGATTTCTCCATTCACCTATGCCTCAAACAATTAAACTCCTTTTCATCAGTGAACGAAGCACGAAGAACAACTCGAGGAAGCATATTATTGCATACTAATTTTTCTTTCGTGAAGATCTATCGGCAAAGAATTTTACCAGATATAAGTTCGAGCAAAGAAACGAGAGTTAAGAAAATGAGTCCGGAGAACATTTGTGGAACAAGAGTTTGGTCAGCCTTAATCGTGGAACCTTGAGGTCCATATGTATCCTTTTCCAGCCTGTCTCTCACCAATTTGGCCGGACATCACCAGTTTTATTGGGTCCAAAAGTTCTTAAATTCCTCCACGACTTTGATCCTTATTGTCTAATTTGTGTTGGATATTATTTGTGGTTATGCGACGATCGAACGAGAAATTGAAGCAACGAAGGGTTAGGATCATTCAGTACCGTAACAACGATGGATTTGTCTTCATTGTACAGGGGCTGGTCACCGGAAGCAGGATCGACGATGGCCAGTCTCTGATGCGTCAGATAGCAATCTCCATACTGGTGCAGCCCACTCCAATCTGGTCCGCGATGCTTTAACCTGTCTCCAAAGACGAACAAGATCACTCCTTTTGAACATTCGTTCATTCATTCATATCAACTACTGGACTCCGATCATCCATCAGAGTTTAAAAGTCTTTAGGCAGGTTTACGTTCTTGTCGAAACAAGCAAAAACCGACTCCCCTGTTTATCTAAAGGTTTTAGACATCGATCATGGATCAAAAAGATTCTTTTTTGGGGTCATTTTCGTTACATAAATAGCACAAACACAAACCGAAAGTCGAAATTTTGGCATCGCTTTCATTGTTCCACTTAGTTCATGATTCTTCATGAGGATGCCTATGAGAACTTTGTCCGATAAAGCAAGAACAGAGAACGGGGCAGCAGCAAAACCAAGCAAACGATGGACGCATGGATGAATCATGGATTAAGCAGAAAGAAGAGAGGGTGGAGAAGGTGGGGATGATTGCCTGCGAGAGAGCTCGAGAACTCGAACCCTTTTGGCCTGCGACTCATCGGAGCAACCCAAGACTGCCAGTATCCCACACATGATGGCACGCTCGGGGATGCAGCGGAAACCCAAGCAAGAGACAAAGGAGGAGGGGTGGGGATGGATGAGGCGCCTCGGACGACCGATCTCGTTGCGAGACGGCCTCCATTTATAGGCGCTCCGCGGGACGCACGGAACCGCAGCTGCTCCCTCCCGCGCGCGGCGTCGTGAATCACGACGCGTCGCCAACCATCGTACGGCCGCACTCGACAGACGCCTGCTCCACGTTCCAGATGCCGCCGCGTGTCCCCGGGCGGATGGGAATGCGTTATCCGTTCGACGCGTGACTCAGCTGGTCCCCGCGGGCAGCCGTCCGCGTCCCACGTGTCGACCGGACCGTCCCGAGATCTCGCGCTCGCGGGTTCCCTAGCGTCCACTGCGACCGTCGATGACGGATACGGACGGCTCTGATCGAGTTGACCTTTCCACGTTTAGGTGCAGTAAATTCTTACCTTATCCTGGAGAGCGGATATGGATAAAACGACTTCACCGGACACTCGGATGGCGTCGCAATTGGGACAGTGACGCTCCAATGGCGTGGGATAATTCATGTCCTTTCCTGGTAGATTCATTTAATCTATCCACTGCTCTTGTCGCCGCATTTTGTGCACCGAACATGCCGATCTAGTGCCAGTCTTGTGTCACGAGCGAGCGAGAGAGAGAGAGAGAGAGAGAGAGGCCTGTCTTCATCAAACGAAGGAAGAAGGTAATAACACTGTTGTTTAGTACCTCCTCGTCAAGGGATGAAGAGGTGAGAGCACTCAACTACTCCATCGAGTATTAATGGTGATATGCTTGCATTCCTTCCCTTCATTTGGGATCGGAAAACCATAAAAGCTGAGATCGGATCGAGGGTGGACTCTGTCAAAGTCGATGTCTGTGAAACGTAGGGTTTGCGTTGGAAATTTGAGGCCTGTCTTGTTGGTGTAAAGGTGATTAGAATTGGGACTTTGCTCACAGTCAAGCTTCTTGAAATCGAAGTGTTGCAGTGTTACACGTTTCGAAAGATTATGGCCTCGTCTCTTCTACACAAGGATTATGGATTTGTCATCTTCTACGTAAGGATGACATATCATTCTCGTATTACGTATCTTCGACATCAGTGAAGCTTCCGGATAATATGTATCATCCTCCTTCTCTACCATTGCTGTTGAAAGCGAGAGAGAGAGAGAGAGAGAAGACTCGGCAACGGTGATCAAAGAATCGCACATTGGGATCCACGCATCACACATCGGGAGAAACCTTATCTGGACGTCCGTGAATACAAGCAAAGGCGACGAGTTCCCTGCTGCCATCCTTCACGTAACTCTACTTTTCAGTGACAGCGAACGAGTTGTGGCGACCCACCGTGGCAAGAACGCCATGCCATCGCCCTCATCGATCCAACTCCGTGCGTCAATTACATCGACAACTACAGTGCATGCATGCCACCAAAATGCCACGTTCGATTGATGAAGACGGGGTGACAATATCCCAATCAACAACTTGGGTGAGGCTTCTCGGTCTCCTCGAGAAAGGAAAGAGAATGACATCCTTGAATTTTGAGATACTAAAAACGATACTATATTGTATTCTATTTCGAATTTATCAACACAAATTGATGGAGTCTCTAACTTCTCTCTCTCTGTAATAGAATCTTAATCAAGATTCTGATGCTAAAAATCCCTTGAATTCTATTTCATCATAAAATTTGATTTAATATTCCAATACTTATGATGTAAAGGGTAGTTGTTAGCACATAGCTCTTAACAAAAAGTGCATCAGGTGGTCCTTTGTAATGTGTCCAAATCAATCGCATCCTTCCTTGTTCGACACAATAAGAGCATCACTACACTGTTTGTACTGTACCATCAAAATAAATTTACCCTCCTCGAGATGTCGATCCACTATCATAATAATTAATTTTTTTCTATCAATCACAATAATCACTAGAGTGTCCAAACATCAATAAAATATAATTTATGCTTCTAAAGAAATGCCATGCCGTCATCCATTTTGGTGAGGATAATAACCCCATCTTTCTCATCTAGTGGCAGGTCAGTCGTTCAATTCCCATGATACATAAAAGACTACGATATTGTTCTTCCTTCATCGTTTTACTATAATCCACCTTTCCATATCACGTCGAATAGGATTTCGCAAACAGTATTTAATGACTAAACATTCATGTCGTCAGGTAAGCAAACAATTGTTCTGCATGGACTTAAATATACACATATCTCATCCAGCTAGCTTTTGCTTGCAGTGTCGTGCCATTGTTTGAGCATTGGAATCTACCTCTTTGCCTTGCGTTATTTCAGAAATATTATGTGTAGTTCTTCGGTGATGAAACGTAAAGATTTTGATAATTTATCATATGATTTTGAGCTCGAATTTCATCTTCATCATTTATTGTTTGTAAAGGAAAACTCTCAAGTCGATGGCCTAATCATTTGGCCTATGGACGGCCACCGGATCAAATGCCACCTCTTCTTCTACAAATCTGTCTCATCCACTTAAATTGGGAGAGAAATGTGAGCCTCGACTGTCAGGATCACATCCTTTCGGTGATTGGGAAGATGATGGCATTTGTCATTGATCTAGCAATTAATGTTTTGAATGATTTCCACCGTGTTCTTGCAATAATGCCGTGGCGAGATCGATCTTTACTCGAGCACTCATCAATAATTGACCTTGATTTTATCTTCATTGTTGCCTTATCCTTATTCCAATTCTTTTATTGAGACGTACATGATTGGCATCTCAAAGCCATTGATAGATTGGCTATGTGTAGAAAATATGGTTTTAATAGGTCAATGCGAACCAAATATTATTCTGGGTTTTTTTTGGCAAGAAAATTCCACTGGGGCTTATTTATTCTCAAATAGGACCTGTTTAAGTGGGTCATATATGTATATTTTTAGTATGATTAGTTGATTCATTCGAAATTATAAGCTTTCTGACTATTAATCCGAAGCCTCATCGAGACCTATATTATCTAAGAGTGCTGAGATAATAGACGTAAGCTATAGGGCAGATTTGATCTATTTTAATCAAAAAATAAATAACTAAGATAGATATGGAATGAGATTTTTAGGTCAATATATTTTTTATTATATATATCCATACCTATCATTCGACACTCTTAACGTTAGACTCAAGCCTAGATAAAAGGACAGGTGATTATGTTAAACTATTGATAGTCGATATAAGACTATGTCCGATCTCATGTTCAAATCTTAATAATAATAAAAAAACGGTTGGTAGAGCGATGATGCATTATTTTTGTTGGGAACTTATGATATTATTATTATTATTATTATTATTATTATTATGGATTGGGAAAATAAAATAAGTATTGGAGTTGGACTCCACATAAATATGTGATTGTTGAATATCTAATGGAGTTCAAAAATAAATATCTTCAGGAGTTGAAATCAAGAAGAAGAAGAAGAAGAAGAAGGTAGATGAGATTTCCTTGATATTATCTACACACAGTTTCGTAAGGCACTGAACCGTAGCACTAGAGATGGCATCGTCTTGTTCCTCTGGATTCAAACGTACGTGCGGTGTAGGTTGATCCTTATCCTATTCTATCCTCACCATTCGAGTTCCCAAACAAGCCTTTGCAGTCACTGCATGGTTCGATGACAACGCCACTTCGTTCATCTGTCGTCTCGTCTGCTTAATTGCGCAGCCATCGACGTCGAATAGTTGCCACCTCGTTCTTCATCTCATCAGCTCATCTTGGCGTTCATTCGATTCAGTCGCTGTTCCTTCAATTACGAGACTTCCACGCGCGTTTACTCCGTCGATCGTGTTCCATGAATGAGTGGAGCCTTCTCCATCGCTTCTTTTGCTTTGCCGTGCCGCGGAAAGTAAGAGTCTAACTAAAATCTTATGGTGGTAATGGAGCGGATTTGGATTCTAATTCTTCCATTATCGACTTGTTCCACTCATTAATTCTTGGATAAATTCCCATAAAATAGTATATCATATCTCGAGAATGATGAATTAATGAAATTATTGTGAAGATTAGTGATTTCAATCATTGAGGTAATATATATTTATATAGGTTTTGAGAGAGAGATTTCCTATACTCATATTGTTAGGATCGAGAGCGGGGGGGGGGGGGTGAATTAGTGCAGCGGAAATCTTTCAGCGATTAAAAACGAAAGCTGCGTTCGTTCGATAAAAACTATTTTGATGCAAAAGCCGATTCTAAGATTACTTATGATTAAGTGTAGTTTACGTCTAAACACAGTTTGCGTCTAAACGCAGTTTGCGTCTAAATGCAGATTGCGTCTAAGCGCAGTTTGCGTCTAAACACAGTTTGCGTCTAAGCGCAGTTTAAGCAGAAGTATAAAGACAATGTGCTGCTATTGTACAACTCAAAAAGTAATCTGCAAAAAGCAGATTTACGTCTAAACGCATATTTACGTCTAAACGCAGATTTACGTCTGAACTTTGAAACTCGTTTTTAGACTCGCAGAAGGCAGTATGCAGTTG